CAGCCTCCTCAAACTCCTGAACTCAAGGGATCCTCTTGCCGCAGCCTCCCCAGTAGCTGAGCCTACAGCACCTGTCACTATACCCAGCTAATTTTTTTATTTTTAGTAGAGACAGAGTCTCACTCTTGCTCAGGCTGGTCTGGAATTCCTGAGCTCAAGTAATCCACCTGCCTCTGCCTCCCAGAGTGCTAGGCACAGGATCTCCCCCCCCAACCTGGTCTTTTTGTTTTTTTTTTAATGGAATGCTTCACGAAATTGTGTGTCGTCCTTGCGTGTCGTCCTTGCGCAGGGGCTATGCTAATCTTCTCTGTATTGTTCCAGTTTTGGTATATGTCCTGTCGAAGCAAGCACCAACATGGCAGTTTTTGATGGTACTATGGGATCTATCTCAGGAACCTGCCCACCATGGGCAAAAGTCTGCTGTATAATTGATACTTGTTATGAATGATAGTAGGTCTTAAAAGTAAGCATATTAGATAGTCTAGATGGGGAGAGATTTGAAATACAGGAATTGACTTACATTGAAATTTTTCACTGTAGGTGATGAGCATGCACATACCCATTCTCTGACTTGCTGCCCCTCCACTGACATGGCCCACCGGGGTGGGGAGAGGGACTTCCAGACTTCAGCTCGGCGCATGGGCACGTCACTGCTTTTCCAGCTTTCAGTACATGAACGGGAGCTGGACCTGGTTTTTCTGGATCATAGCTATGCCAAGCCTTGGAGTGCCCACCCAGATGCCAGTAGTGCTCGCCCCACCCGCATGCTCTTTGTCACTCCGCGTCGGCAGCATGAAAGTACCATGTGAGTTGGGCTTCTAAGGGCTGCTACTGCCCTAACTGGACAGTGATCAGATGGGATTAGAGAGGATTTTCTTGGGGATGATTAGGGGAGATGGTAGGAGGAGCTTGCAAATTTAATTAGGCATCTTTTTCAAGCAGTATGAGGATGTCAGACCTGAATGTGGACATCTGCTCATGAGACATCTAACAAGAGTTAGGAAAGCAAGATGTGCAAAGGAAAGAGGCAGCCTGTTCCACATAGATAATAGGACTTGTGTGGAAAGAGGAAATTGAAGAAGACTCTTTTAACTGGTGAAGAAGAAGACTGAAAATTTTGTTTTAAGAACATGCCACACAGGATAAGAGTCCTTACAACTTTTTTTTTGGGAAACAGGGTCTTACTCTTTTGCCTGGGCTAGAGTGTAGTGGTATCATCATAGCTCACTCTAACCACAAACTCGTGGGCTCAAGTGATCCTCCTGCCTCAGCCTCCAGAGTAGCTGGTACATTAGGCATATACCTACACACCTGGCCAACAATAACTTTTTAAAAACTAGAAAGTTTTTTGTAACAATAGCTTTTTTACAGTAATGTGTTTTGCTTTTCCTTGCTTTACACCCAAAGATTAGAAGTAAATCCTCAAGACGTTGTTTTCTTTCTTTGCTTGCTTCAGAATTGCCACCCATGGGTTAAGCTGAACCTCCTTGGGTCTAATTATATTTTCACTTAGCCTACATGATAGGCTAAGGACATTTCCTAAATTTACTACCTGATATGTGATGTAGGTACATTGGGCCTAAATAAATCTGTTTGGCCATTCTTTTGAGCATTCTAATTTCTTACATTTCAAGAGTTATTTATTTGTTTTATTCTGATCAAATTATACCCTTACTAATTCTGTAAACTCTTGGAGAGAGGTTTTTTTGTTTTTAATCTCGTCTAATGCTTAATCTTTCCTCAAGCACAGGCTTTAGTTTCACTGGAGGTTAGAGATACTGTATTTTGCTTCTGTAGATCCCTCCATGAATCCTTACTGTTGTAGAGTTACCATGATGTGTGTATTTTAAACACATGTGAAATAGTGATTTTTATTTCGATTTCCCAATGATGTTGGTATTTTGTTGGTTTTTTTGGTTGTACAGGGCACTGGATCTGTGACTTTAGGAAATAATATAGCATAATCCTTATACCTCTGGCCTAGGGTATAACTGAAAAGCTTCTTTAAATAGTAAGTTTTTTCCTGTTTGCTATGTAATAGCTTGCTGATATTGAAATTCCTGTGTCTGTATCTCATGACATTTTTTTTTCCATGACATTTTCTTAAAGTGAGATTCCGTTAACTTGGTTGTTTTGGTACTTAGAAAATTATTTCCTTTTCTAAGTCCTCTCTCCATATTTATAGGCCCTGAAAGTGAGAATTTGGCGCTTTTTAAGGCAAGTGTGTCTGAAAGATGGTGGCAGTAGGATGTAAATAGGAGGTAGGGAGAAGTTGACAGAGGCTGCCTCATGTAGGATTTTGATTCTAAGAGTGGTAAGAAGTCATTGAAGGATTTAAGCTAGAAATCCAATTTATTACTAAAAAGGGCACTTTGAGTTTTTGTTGAATAGATTATAGTGTAAGCTTAGAGTGTAGTAGATCAGCTAGGCAGCCATTGCAGTTGACTTAAGATTGGCCAGAAACTACGATCACTTGGATAGGGATGGGAATAGTACAAATGGAGATAAATTTCCTAGGGAGAGCCAATAGGACTTGCTCTGATGAGTTGAAAAGAGGAGCCAGGGTTGAGGGGAATGGTAGAATTAGGATGACTCTTAGATTTCTGGCACAAGAAACTAGGTTGTGCCATGACTTAGGGAATACAGGGAGGGTAGGTATGGGATGGTAGAATCAAGAGTTCTCTTTTAGGCATGCATGTCCAGCCCCTAGCCCACTGTCTTGCTCAGAGAAGACAGTTAGCTCTTTAGTCTACCATCACATCTAGCTGCACATTACTTCATTTCATTCCATAATGTTATAATTAATGTAGTCATTGGGAATGGATGTAGTAAGGTTATTGCGGTCAGAAAGGTCGATAAACCAGCTTGTTTGGTGTAGTATTTTAGATTACAAAGTTGGTGCAATGTACCATAAAGTGGGGAAGGACCTACAGGGAACTAGGATTTCATTAACATCATTTTAAAATAAGAAAGAACTTCTTCAGCTGTTCATTTAGATTTGTTTCTGTTCTGGGCTCTGTACAGAGTGACTTAAATAGCTATGATGTCTGGGTGATCCTTCCCAGATAAGCACAGGCTTTTACAAGCATATAATTAACTACCAGTTGACTTGCTAACAAAAGGGAAAGTTTGTATGAATAATTGAAACCTCTAGATCAGTGCTTTTCAGCAGAACTCTGCTATAATAGACATGTTCTATACCTGGGATGTCTAGTATGATAGTAGTAGCCACATACATATACCTGTCAAGCACTTAATATGTGACTGATGTAACTGAGGAACTGAATGTTTAATTCTGTTTACTTTTATTAATTTAAATTTAGTTAAATAGTCACGGGTGACTTACAGCTATTGTATTGGACATCATGTCCACAGGCATCAACTATTTGCTTATGGAATATATTTGTCTTCTAAAAAATAAGCTGCTTACTTTTCATATAGACTCATTTTAAGATGACTTTATGCTGGTAGGTATTATGTACTTAACTAGCATGTCAGAGATCTATACAAGTATGGGAAAGATAATTTTGGGTCAATATTCTTGTGAATATAATGTGTTTATGCATGATTTAAAGTTGATTATATTAGTCATTTTTTGACAACCAGGTGATTGTTAGACACTTGTGTTGTGTGAAGTATGTGTGGCCTGGTCCCATTTTCTCACCTGTTTACAGTGAATCAGATGTCCCAATAGACGTGGAGACGGTCACATCAACACCTGTGCCACTCTATGACAATCAGAAGGCACGAAGTGTGATGAATGAATGTGAAAGGCATGTCATCTTTGCCAGGACTGATGCAGATGCCCCTCCCCCACCAGAGGACTGGGAGGAGCATGTCAACAGGTAGGCCATTCCTTGGGAGGATGGGTTACTGCAGGGTTCATGGTTACCATCCTATAGTTATATTTTGTATCATCATCTTCAGTGAAACACATTTATTGGGTACTTTTTTTATTTGCAGCCATACAAGTCCAGATGTTCTAACTCTCACATTATAATTCTTAGCTCATAATGCTGTGAACTCCGTGAGAGCAGGGCTTACATCTCAGCCATGTTTGGAATGTAGCACACAGTATGCATATAATGTTTGTTGACTAAATAAATGCATTAAATTTGATAGGTATTTCTAGTTCTGTAGTTTATATATTGTACAAGTTATGCTATAGGAATCACCCAGACCATAAAAAAATTAATTAAAAGTATATTTGTGCTTATATGGTCTGTAACTTGCCTAATAAAAGTGTTTTGGAGTTGCATGAAAAGCTAACAAATGTTTTAGTGGATTTTAAAACTAAATTTGTAATCTGTGGTTTTGACGGCACACTTATGGTTGTTTCATGCATTTGCTGGCTAGTTTTGTTCCCGTGCTTCCTGCCATCTCTGGAGAACTTGATATTTCTTTCTTTCTTTTCTTTTTTTTTTTTTTTGAGATAGAGTCTCATTTTGTCGCCCTGGGTAGAGTGTTGTGGCATCACAGCTCACAGCAACCTCAAACTCTTGGGCTTAAGTGATTCTCTTGCCTCTGTCTCTGAGTTTTGGGGACTACAGGCGCCCACCAGAATGCCTGGCTATTTTTTGGTTGTAGTTGTTTGGTAGGCCCATGCTGGATTTGAACCCATTAGCTCCGGTGTATGTGGCTGGTGCCCTACCCATTTGAGCTACAGGCACTGAGCCAGAACTTGATATTTCTTTCCAGGTTATTCATCTCTGTTAGTTTGGGAAATAGTTATTTATCTAATCATGTAAGAACTTTGTGGAGATATTTATATACCATATAATTCTATACCTGTCTAATGTGTATACTTGTGGCTTTTAGTATATCCAAAGTTTTACACCTGTCACTACTATCAATTTGATAAATATTTTCATTACCCCCAAAAGAAACTCCATACCTGTTAAGTTACTCTTTGTTTCCCTCCACTCCTTAGGATCCACCAGTGTATTTTCTGTTTTTATGGATTTGATTATTCTGGACATTTCACGTAACTCGTATCATGTAATTTGTGGTTTTTCATGACTGGCTTCTTTCACTTAGCATAATGGTTACAAGGTTCATCCATGTTGTAGCATGTATCAGTATTTCATTCCTTTATGTTGCCAGTTGGTATTCCATTGTTATGGATAGCTCACATTTTATTTATCAATCAGTTGATGGACATTTAGGTTGTTTCTACTTTTTGGCTATTATGAATAAAGGTGCTATGAACATTTACATGAAAGTTTTAGCGTGGAGCTATGTTTTCAAGTGTCTTAGCTGTATACCTATGAGTAGAATTGCTATATTATATGTTTAATTTTGCTGGATCTGTATTTAAATATAAAGAATTGCCAGACTGTTTTCCTAAGTGGCAATATACTTTTTTGCATTCTTTTTTTTTTTTGAGACTGTCACTATGTCGCTTTTGGTAGAGTGCTGTGACATCACAGCTCACAGCAACCTCCAACTCTTGGGCTTAAGCGATTCTCTTTCCTCAGCCTCCCGAGTAGCTGGGGCTACAGGCACGCACTACAATATTGGCTATTTTTTTGTTGCAGTTGTCATTGTTGTTTAGCTGGCCCAGGCCAAGTTTGAACCTGCCACCCTTGGTGTATGTGGCTGGTGCTGTAACCACTGTGCTACGGGCGCCGAACCTCATTTATTTATTTATTTTTTGAGATAGAGTCTCACTTTGTCACCCTCAGTAGAGTGCTGTAGTGTCACAGCTCACAGCAACCTCCAATTCCTGGGCTTAGTCGATTCTCTTGCCTCTGTCTCCCGAGTAGCTGGAACTACAGGTGCCCGCCATAACACCCAGCTATTTTTTGTTGCAATTTGGCTGGGATCAGGTCTGAACCCGCCACCCTCGTTGGTATACGGGCTGGCGCCCTACTCACTGAGCCACAGGCACCACCTGGCTTTCACATTCTTACCAGGAGTATATGAATGAAAGTTCCCGTTTTTCTATATCCTTGCTAATAGTTACAAATTTTCTTTCTTTTTAAAAAGTTATAATGATTCTACTGGGTTTTTTTTTTTTTTTTAGACAGAGTCTCACTGTGTCACCCTTGGTAGAGTGCTTTGGTGTCACAGCTCACAGCAACCTCAAACTCTTGGGTTCAAGCAATTCTCTTGCTTCAGCCTCCCAAGTAGCTGGGACTACAGGCGCTGCCACAATGCCCGGCTATTTTTTTGTTGCAGTTGTCATTGTTATCTAGCAGCCCAGACCTGGTTCGAACCCACCTGCTTCGGTGTATGTGGCCCGCGCCCTAACCACTGGCTATGGGCGCCAAGCAAGGGTTTTTATTTTATTTTATTTTATTTTTATTTTTATTTTTTTTTTTTTTGAGACAGAGCCTCAAGCTGTCCCCCTGGGTAGAGTGCCGTGGCATTACAGCTCACAGCAATCTCCAACTCCTGG